TATAGTCTCGATATAATTACTTATATAAATTATCTAATAAAGATATAAGCAAGGCTTCACTTTAAAAAAAATAAAAAATAAAAAATAAAAAACTCTTTCTAATAATCTCTTATACTAAAAAATACAATAAACTTTTTTTTTAAAAAACAGTAAACTATAGTAGAAAAAAGAAGTATAAGACTGATAAAAACTATAAACTAGTACTTGTTATTTAGAAATAGTTTTTATATACTATCTGCTAACAGGCTTAGAGCTTATTACTTATTATAAAAATAGAATTTATTATTTAAAAGTAGTTTTTATATGCTACTTTCTAACAAGTTTAGAGTTTATCACCTATTTGCAAGAAAATTAGCAGTTTATTTAGCTTTATATATTTAACTACTTTTCGAAAAAAATATATGTTCTTTAAAAAAAAATATACTGTAAAAACTTGAAATAGCAAGCATCTGCGTATTATTTTGGCTACCTGTATGCTATTTTAGTACACATATATGTGTTATTTTAAAACTATTGATCGATTTTCTAAATCTGGTTTTTTTAAAATAATGCTTATAAGTGGCACAATAGTGTCAATATATATATTAAAATAGATTTAATTGTGTATATTTGATAATTATTTAATAGTTGAGATCTATTGTAATAGTAGTTATTTTTTGTTTATTTAAATTTGATAGAATTTAATTATGCATAAATTAAATTTGACAATCAAATACCAAAATCTAAAAAAGCTAGAAATATCAAGTTTGAAATGATTAAGCTGAATACAAAAAGCTCAAAGTTGAGATCCTATAGCTGTTATTTTTTTAGTATATTTAAATTTATATATAAATTATTTTAAAGCATTTGCCAAGCTAAATTTTCTTCAGCATGAACTAGTAATTGTTTGCTATAAAATCTAAAAATTTTTCTTAACTTATTATAATCTAAAAAAACAAAAAAACAGTATATATTTTATATAAAAAAAAAAATTATATTGTTTTAAAGATGTTTATAGATAAAGAGTGCAAAGAATTATATAATCAAATAAATAGCTATTCAAAAAAAAATAAAAATAAAAAAATCTAGCCTTACTCATACAACTTTAATATTAGTTTCAAAAACTTTATTAGTCCTATTAAGAGTATACAAAATTAATTAAAGCAAAACATCTTTCAATATACTGATGCATTATATTATGCAGAATTTGATTCTGTAAATTTCTGACTTTAATATATATAGATTTTGCATATAACAATTGCTATTCTATAGCAAAAAAAATATATCAGTTCCTTAATATTAATAAAATCAATCTAGAATTAGTAAATAATTAAATAATTTAGAAAAAAAAACTTTGATTTTTTTTTTGTAATACAGATCTCACATATATATTTGAAATGTAATTTGTTTTGGGTTTTATATACAAATCTCACTTTATTTACAAAGAATTATGAACTTAGCTTACAAAAATCAAAGCTATACTGTTGTATTTAAACTAGAAGTAGTATCATATGTATAAGGTATCTCTAACTACTATGCGGTATTGTTTTACAAAATAAATTAAAAATGGGTTTAGGAGTAGAGAAAACAGAAAGCAAAGCTTAAAAAAATTAAAAACAAGAATGAAGCATGTGCTTTTGCTAATCGTGATAAAAAAGCTATATACCTTGCTTTAGAAAAAGAGCTATTAAAGTACATAAAAAAAAAAACAGAAAGAAAAAATTATAGTTACAACATTTATGGTTTGAAAAAAAGCCAAAGAGTTAGGAGAAGCTCTAGGTCTTGTAAATGTTCAATTTTCATATAGTTGGGTTAAACATTTTAGAAATCGACACAACCTGGTAAAATATGCTTGAATACAAATCGTGCAGAAATTTTCTGAGAATACATCTTTGGTTATCAAAAACTTCCTTCAAACTGCACATGAAAAAAACAAAAAATATAAAAAAAAAATTTGTTATTTTTTTCAATAAAACACCAATGTAGTTCGACATGCTACAAGGTTTAATACTTGAGTTTCAAGATGCTCATAAAGTGTCTATTAAAACTACAAGAAGCAACAAAGTGTGATTTACAGTAGTTTTAGGCTATATAGTATCTGGAGTAAAGCTTTTGCTAGCTATAATTTTTAAACTCAAAAAAAACTAAAAGGCAAGATATTGTTATAGCAATAGCACCTTATAGAAATATAATAGGAGATTTAATAATTTTCACTTATATCCCACAAGTTATTTGAGCAAGACAAATTGGATTTTTTTAAAAATAAAGGTATAATCTTTGTTGATCATCATTGTAGTTATATCTATAATGATGTAGTTCATATGATAAATGCAGAAGGATTGAATGTTTTAGAAATATCTGATAAAACAACCAGTATTTTACAGCCATCTAATGTATTAGTAAACAAACCTTTTAAAAGCAGAATGAGGCAAAGATGAGAAAAATAGATGAAAATAGGAAAAAAAAGTTTTATTGTAAAAGAGAACTGATGAAAAGTGCTATATATAAACTTGTTTGTAAATAATATCTAAAACCTAGAAAGAAATTAGTACAAATATTTTGATCAAGTCTTTTGAATCTACTGGTCTTACACTTAACCCAGATAGCAGTGAAGATAATAAAATATCAACTCACCTCCAAGCAATTGTCAGAAACCATATGGATAAAATAAACATATATAGAAGTGGAAGAATTTTTGAATAAAAAAAGTATACCTTTAGATAATAAATATGTAAAAGATATAGACATAGATGATAATATGAATGATGATATAGATAATAATACAGATAATAAAAGTATAACAGATAATGAATGTATCATAGATAAATATTTAACAGACAATAAATGTGATAGATAAAAAAAAAAAATTGAAAAAGATAGTTAGTAAAAATATTTATATATTTTACTATTAATAGAATAATTATTTAATATTGTTTATGTTTATTTACATATATATTGGTATATATTTTCTGCTTGCCCAGACCTCAAGCTATTATAGTTCAGATTTGTAGATTTGTTTAAGTTTTGTCAGCAAGACAATATAAATAAAATTAATCAAAAATTATCTATGCAATATTATTTTTCTGTTAAGCTGATAATATTTCTTTTTTTTTTTTTTTTTTTTGACAGTCTTGTTGGTATTTTTTTTTTTTATCATAGAACTTATGTACTTTTTCATAAAATTTTTTTCGTTTCACTTTGATAGTTATCACACATTCATGGAATTATATCTTATACAATGCCACGTTTTTGGCCGAATGATGGAGAATGTTTAATCGGTAGCATACATGTTCAAGTCACAAACGAAGTAAACGAACAGCTTATAATAAAGGAAGTTACAAGAGTTTTAAACTCTAAAATAAAAGGTTTAGAAGAACTAACCATACAAGTTGAAAAGATCGAAGGTGGGTTTCATGAATGTCTATGTAATCCGTGTAATTCTGAATATAGATATGGTGGCGAACATTTTATAAGACAAATGAAAAGAAAAGATTACTAATCATTGAAAATAGAAGCTTTTTATTTATATATTAGAAAATAGGTTAGTTAATTGAAAAATCAATTTTTAATAATTATTGAGCAATGATAGTATAAGAAAAATTTTTGTAAATGATAGTTCATAGCATCAAATAGTTACAACGGTAGTTTTTTTAGAAACAAAACAAAAAATTTGTTAAATTGTAAATAGAATTTTGAAAATCATTATAAATTATAAATTTTGGATAAGTAGATCTTAAAATATCTTTAGCGTATTTTGCAGTAGTTTATAGACTGGTGCTTAATAATATTAGAAATGACTCGTAGATGTATACTTAACTATTAATACGCATAATTATAGTAGATTATTACGTATAAGGATCGTTATTAGTTTAGAGGTGATTTGACCTATATTTAATAAGTTCCATTATTTCGTTAGTGAGAACTGTTAAAATAGTTCAAAAATAAACTAAAATAAAAATCAAATATAACCTTTATACATTGTTTAAATTAAAGTTAGTACTTCAAACCTGATTACTTTTAAGTCCGTTTTTTCATATCAATATGTAGTATATAAATCCGAATTTAAACATTAAGGTTATATTATAAATATATCCGTATTCTAACTCTAGTTAA